CTACTTTCTGATATTTTTTACATGAACTGAGATATATAGGCTCAAAGTTGACTGTTTCGGTGGCACTATGTTATCCTGTTAACGTTTTGACTCTTGAATCTGTCGCAACTCCACGTTCAGTAAAAATTTTGAGAATGTTGGCATTTTCTACTTTGGTGAAAATGTACAAAAAAAAATGGACAATTACGAAGTTGAAGAACATATTTCTTCTCGATCCCATTATCCGCAAACTTTTTTCTCGACTGCTTCTTCTCATTAATCTGCTCTATCATCTTCAAAAATCTATTTGAATGATTTGTGTGTTTTTCGAACTCCAACCAATTTCCCATCATTTACAAACCAATTTTTCATTCAAGTGAAAAATCACTTTGACAGAGACCGACAACAGGTGCTTCTTCAAGTACAACTGTCGTTTTTTCCGCTTCTGTCCATCAGAAAAGTCTACGGAAATCAACCGAGTACCGATAGGATCTCAATCCGTTCCGCATGTCATCCAAACGTCACTTTGTTATCTCAATCTGCCCAAAAAAGAAGAAAAAGGACCCTTGAACTTTATATTATGTAATTTGCTCCCCCGCTCATCCAAACATTGGATCTTTCTTTTTTCTTAGCACATCAAGAAGAAGAAGGAGGTACTGTGCATTACTGTGAGGGTGGTTTCCCACATTAGCCAAATTATATCGTAGAATACACACAATCCCGTTTTCGCATCACCTCATCGCACCTCAATTATCTTGTCCATACATTCCTCTGGGGTGCTCTTTCTCTCTTTTTCTCTATCCATACCTCATTTTGTCATTGTGACCCAAATTGATGAGCTGTCGTGTCATTTCTCTTGCCATTTGCACAGGTAGAAATTTGAATAATGATCGAAAGTACACCGAGATAGAGTATCGATGTACGAGTTTGAATTATCTCGGGTTTTCCAATTTCTCATTAGAACCCCAATTTTTCTCCATGTCAAAAAGATTAGACCATTTTCAAGAGTCTGGAGCTCGAATGTCAAGGTTCCGATCACTTTGAAAATTTTAAAGGGTTTCAAACAGACCTAAATTGAAAACTTTGCATTCGCAGAATTTTTTTTAAGTGTCTGGTTTTTCAGCTATTTGCCGATTTCTGAAAGACACTGGTTTTTTTCATGAGTTCAGTACAAAAACCAGCCAAGAAGGTGTGTCTTTCAGAAATCAAAAAATAAACGAATTTCCAAAAGATTCTGTAAATGCAAAGTTTTAAATCCAGATCTGTTTTACACTCTCCAAAATTTTCAAAGTTATTGGTAACTGGAAAGTTGAGCCCCATACTCCTGAAAATACTTAAAATGGTCAAAAATCAACTGAAAAACAGGTATTTGTATATCTTATTAAACTGTATCTTCTCTAGGTTTAGTCTTCATATTGAAACGTAGTAGAAATAGATCTCCTTGACCGCCAATCATGGGACCAAGTAGCTATAACTCATGCCATACCCGCCAATGGTACCCGTAATCTTGATAATCACTTATCATTCCCAAACCAAGCATACCGTAAGATGTCCTATCCTCTCCCCCGTGTCTTCTTTCTGATGTTTAACAAAGTAATCCAGAGTGTGAAAGTAGAATCGTGTGAATTCCAATGCGCATCTTGTTCCAATTTACTCCATCACTGTGAGATCCAAAAAGTAGTTCTTTTTGTCCTGTCGTCCATCACTCTCTTTGCTTTTCTCTTCATTTTTTTTTGAACATTTTCTCGTCAAGAACATGTGTTTTCGAGCTCATAAAGCATCGGTGAAAAGACCACTTTGTTACACTTAAAACAAGAAGAATGGACCTCCCGCCGTGTCCGAAATCTGGAAGATTGAAGAAGAAAGAAAGACGAAAAATTGGGGTGACAAAATATTAGATCCCCTCCCAGAGCGTGTGGAGCCGAGAGAAAAGGGGAGATAGCCGACACAACACCGAGAGGTGTCACAACATATCTCATTTCGACTCATCGGTCAACTTCAATCAACTTCTAACCTCTTCTTAGCACATACCGCACTGCTTCTTCTCCTTCTCTCGTCCTTTTACACTTTTATACTCTCTTTCCCATTATTCTGAATTCATGCTTGAAACCAGTTTCCGGTTTTCTGTGGGGATTTTCGTTTATCTTTTCTCAAATTTTTCACACAGGCTATCTAGATCAACCACAAAATTATAGCGGAACGTTTGAAGGCCTGTTGAAATGACAAGGCATTTTATGATTTTTCGCGAGTTCAGAGTCGGCACCCTTCGAACGGCCATAACTTTGTTCATTTTTGTGATAGACGTTTAAACTATTTTTATTTGAAAGGTGATAAGATGGCGCGCTTGTTGCTAATTGCACCTATGCTCCATCTTCAAAGGGAATTCCAGGAAAACAGAAAATATGAAAATTTCGAGTTCCACCGAATTCAAAAAATGCCAATTTTTGGAAAAACGTCTTCGGGGGACCATACCGATCAGATTTCTCAAGACGAGTAACGTACATATACGTGTTCAAATATAGGTCGAGCCCTTGAGTTACGAGACTTATTTCAACTTTTTTCCAAAATAATGTTAAATTCCTGTACCCCTATACATGCAATTTTTTGAGAAAACTTTTGTTTGAAAAATTGAAATAAAAAGAAGCAGCAAAATAAAGTCTATACACTGAAAAGAAAAACATTCAATACAAAAAGGTGAAGTACTCACTATCAGAGAATTTCTGTTTTGAGGGTTTTTTTTCGAGATTTCAGTAGTCGTTGTTTCAGAAGTTATATTGTTGTTCATTATTTTTTATCTTACTACTCAAGAATAATTTTCCTGAAAGTTTCTAATTCGTTAATTTTAAAATCAATAAGAAAACACTCAGGAGTCAAGAAACAAAATTCCTAAACTTTAAATCCGGGTTTTTGCAAGTCTGATCCTAGAAGTAAAACAATTTTTTTAGCCAACCTCAAAAATGTTTCAATTTCGAATTGTTCAATCCAAAATTTACCGTTTTTATCTTGGTTGTTTAACCAAGAGTCTTTGAAGATACTTCTTAAGTTAGTTTTAAAAATACCGTAAATACTCTAATAGGAGGCCCCTCCCCAAACCGTCAACTTTGAGCCTATATATCTCACTTCCTGTAAAAGATATGAAAAAGTTGTTAACTGATAAATTGTTTATTATAATATCAAAAAAATTTGTTAGTTGAACACTTTTTGATATCTTTGACAGTAACTGAGATATATGGGGAATTGACGGTCTGGGTGACCTTCTATTAGAGTGTTACTGCTCTACTTTCCCAAAAAGGGCGGTTTAAGAATTAGTTTTCAGGGGAAACAATTTTAAAAGGTAATATTGATTAAGGTTCATTATTTTGAGAAATTCGAAGAAAGCTAGGGTCCGGACTTTTCTACTCGGACCGTTCCAATTCCGATGTTCACCAACTCAGATTCCAGTATTTTCATCAGGACTTAATCTCAATCCTCCAATTTTGTAATGTCCAGTTCTTAAAAAAGGAAATGTAGAAAACCCGTGATTCTTCATATCAGCAGAAAAAACATTGTTCATCAAAAGTGGCATACGTGGAGAGTTGTAGGAGGACGGCTCATGGACGGATAATACATATTCCCTGTATTTTTCTCCTTCTACACCTCCAAATCTGTCATATTATTCCCTTTCCCGGGGCGGGGATGTCTCTCTCACTACCAAAACCATCAGCTCGCTGTGTCTGTTATTTGTCAAAAAGTGGGCGGGCTATAACAGAAGAAGAGAAGAAGAGAATGGGGGTGCCGCCTTCCTCTCCTGTTTCTCTTTTCCACTTTTCTTCACAAATGAATGATAGAGAGAGAGAGGAGCCAATTGATCTGAATGAGATAGAAAGCCGTGCAGTTTTTTGATTCGATATCACTTGTCCATCTGTTGTCCACTTTTTCCCGGGAGAGAGGTGTCTGTAATCCTATTGTTCATCTATCAATCCTTATCATCTTAGGACTCCTGTCTTCCCGTCTTCTAAATTATCCACGTCAGAAGGACAAAAAGGCAGGAAGGAAGGCCAATGTTGTCATAAACTGTCCCTATCCGGATAACATCATTATTGCGCTTGCTCCTTGTGACGCTTCCGACTATGTCTGCCCCATCCCAATTCACCATTGTCTTTCTGACAGATAACCATTACGTAAACCAAGATCTTTCGGTTAGATTCACTCTTCCCTAATCAACTGGTCCATCCGGATTTGCCTCCTCCTCTCTTAATATGGCTTTTGTCCATTTACCTCCTCTTTTTGATTTTCTGTTTATTCTGTCCCCTATTAACCACCCGATAATGGCTTCTCCTCATTCCAAAGAGGTTATCAATGCGGGGTTTTCGGGGGTAATTGACTAGATTCCCCTCCCCTGTGGGTCGTTTTATTACGTTTTGAGTACTTCTCCTAAAAAAACCATTTAGTGTCCTTTTTCTGATACCTGGATCTGACCTTCTTCCCCTCCAGTTTTCCGTTCTTGCAACAGTATTTTAATTGGAGAGAGTCGTTTTTTTTTCCAACGTCTTCTGGTCTTCTGGGCGCCAACCAACCTTTTCATCCATTTTCCTCCCATCCTTCCACCAATTTATTATCTTTTTGTGTACTTTTCAAAAGGAATGAACGCCGTCTGTCCCTACTTCTCCTTTTCTTCTGTATTTATTCCATCTTATAATAGCAGGGAGTCAGTCGTATAAGTCGCGACGCCATTCCGTTTTTTCTGTCTCCAATGATGTCGTTGTGAAGTTGTGAAGCATTCTTTCCGGTCGTTCCTTTTTTCTGTAGTCCTCCTCGATAAATAGCCACGATCAAGAAGAAGTACGACTGAAAAAAAAAGAAAAGAGACTCATAAAATGATGCCCGTATGTGTCCCTTACCAATTCAAACATTTTTGTATAGAAGTGTGCAACAAGATTCTTATACTTTTCCTCTATGATTTTTCCTCTTCTTATTCTACTCTAACTTGGAAAACAATGCTTTCAGATAAAGGACACCATCCGCATGACGCCGTAGCTCCAATGACGTCACCTTCACCATCCGGAAATGTGGTGGTCGTTGGTTCAGACGGAACGTCGTCCATCTCGGACCGCTGGCCACCTCAGAAGCCGCGGATCACACCGCCACGTGTTAGGATAGATCGTCAATTCGTGGCCACTGCAGTACCTCATGTGCTCATGTTTCTCTTGGTTTGCATCGTCTTCACCGCACAACAAACACGCATATCGACGCTTGAGAGACGCATCGATCAGCTTGCCGTTCAGGTATGAATGATTACTTTTTTATGTTTGGTCCGGGTTGAAGGGAGGAAGCACTAGTGTGCCACGCCTTACTTATTCAACATATCGTATTACTGTCGAGAGTGAGCTCAAGTGGCCCAATATGGTACTCTTAATTCGGAAACAATGAATGCTAGAGAGGGTGATAAATGTTTATGAAAATTTATAAATTTCAATTTCGAATTCGAAATAATCTGAAAATTAGAATTTAATGTTCCCAATTAGGGTTTCCATATACCATAAACACTCTAGTAGAAGGCCACCCTGTACTTGAACTTTGAGCTGATTTATCTCGGTTTCTGTGAAAGATATCAAAAAGTTGTCAATTAACAAATAGGTTATCATATTAACATTTTATCTGTTGACCCATTTCTGATATCTTGCATAGGAGCCAAAATAAATTAGCTCAAATTTGACAGTGTGGGGCCCGTTTTTCATACGTACGGTAATACAGTTTTACGGTATTTTTTCTTCTGGAGCATCCTACCCCGAAACCTCTATAGATTATTCAAATTGAATGAAGCCAATTTAATCTCAAACAGTTTTTTCATTTTCTGACATTTCGATTCAACCTCTCCACTTTTCATTCAAAACCGCCAACCCATCATAATGAGTTCTTGCCTTATAAATTTCATGGAAATCACCTGCTTCTGTAAACATGATATTCCCCACTCGAAAAACATACACACGGCCACCTGTACCTTCCTCTTTCCTACCAGCTGTTTTCGTTTGCATTGCCATATCCCATCCTCATCGTCCTCATCATCTGAACACCTAAAATGTCAAGCAGTCCACGTGGCAACCGGTGAGAAGGGAAAGAAGAACGCCTTCTAAACATTTATGTCACTTTTCCGTTCATACAGACCACCTCTATAATTTTCGCACATCCTTTTCCTTTTCAATTGTAATTGGCAGTTACGATCGACTATTCTGATCGGTACCATCTTCCACAACATATGTTCAGTACCATCCATTTGGAGATTTTGGACTAAAAAACTGAGGTGGACTGTCTTCTGAAGATGTAAACCATTTTGTAGAAAGAAATCGGATGAGGTGGTGGCAACCTTGACGGCAAATTGAGTTTATGATTTGAACTACTATGAGAAACTTTCTTGTACGGTAGTTTGACGGCAATGCGGTGTGATGGGCTGGGGGCTTCCCGCAGATGAGAAGGGAAAAACAGAAACACATAACTCAAAATGTGTTGTTATCTCTTCCAACAGAGAGAGAGAGAGAGAAAAGGGACTCTTTTGACAGGAGAAGCCTATAAATTATGCGAGACGATCACTCTTCTTGATGTTTTACAGATAGAACAAGACATCCCTCCCATCGGAAATTCAGATGATAACTCAGATGACGTGGCAAAGAGTCGAAAAGTGAGGAATTCGTGTATGTGCCCACCAGGTAAGACTTTTTACACAACCACTTGAATAGCTGTAAAACGGGACACACCTTCTGCCTGGTGGCTGTAAATTGCGCCAACTTTATTTGGATAGTATAATGTGTTGATGCTATTCAAATCGGGGCGAAAAGAGCTTGAGAACAAGGAAGGGACATGTATATGTTACAACATTTGACAAGATGTCGACATGATGTCTGTGGTCGGATCCGATGAAAAGACGTGACAAATTGATCATCAGAAACATTGACAACCAATCAAACACTTGTGTGAAACATCCTCGAGTGGAGCAAATCTGAGAAATTCGGGTTTCGCCGGGCCATGAGTATGTAAATTACCGTAAATGATAAGATATATTTACTATTAGATCATCAGTAAAAAAGTCAATGACAAAATAATATGACTCTCTTACAGTACCGCTAAACCTGTAATAGAAGGGCCCCAAACGTTTAACTTTGAGCCAATATATCTCGGTTCCTGTCAAAGATATAAGAAGTTGTCAACTGATTTTTCAGAACCTCTGAATTTTTGAATTTTGGAAAATTTTGAGATTTTTCTGAAATTGTAATATTTTTTTGGAATTTTTTAAATTTTGGATTTTTTAGAATTTCCCAGAATTTCTGTTTTTTTTCAAATTTTCGAAGTTTTCGGGATTTTTAATTTTTTTGGAATTTTATAAGAAAGTTGTAAACTGATTATTCATCAAAATATCGAAAAAAAATTTATCAGTTGACGCATTTTTGATATATTTCACAGGAGCCGAGGAAAAAATTCTTTAAAATCCAAAAAATTCTATAACACTAAACCTTCGGACATTGACGTAATCTAATTGTAGCCATCAGTTCCTTCACTTTTCTCCGCCTATATCACTATAGCACTTTGATTGTTCCAAAAGATTTCGAATCCAATCCAACTCCCATGTGATTGATGAAGTGATTACGGCGCGAGAGAGGGCGGACTAACAGAGAGCATCACCAATTTGCCATGATATACTTTCGGCCCTAGTTCTTCTTCCGACTTCTCGTACTAACATTACAAAGTGTGAGATGAAAACGCAAAAGATTTCGACCGAGGCAGGACTCGAACCTGCAGTCTTCGGTTTAGGAGACCGACGCCTTATCCATTAGGCCACACGGCCACAAGGGAAGAGGGGGAACGGGTGTTTATACTAGACAACTGGGAGGAGAAGAGACAGCAAAAATAGAGTTTGTGTGTCCGAAGTAGATGGGAGGTTTTCTTCGGGAGAAAAGAGTGTGCGTGCATGTGATGAGGAGTGGAGAGCGCAGAAAAAGGGAGTTCTGCAAGGAAGGGAAAGATGATAAATAACGAAAGATTTGTATTTTTGAAATTAAAAAAAAAATTTCAGGACCACCTGGAGAACGAGGACCAGTCGGACCACCAGTGAGTAAACCTCAAAATTGTTGGAAACTAGCAAAAAAAATAGTAAAAAAACAATCGTAAACGATCGCTGATTTTTTTTTGAAACCCGCGCGATAAGTGCGCCCTACAGTACGACCTATTTTTGGCATTTTGCCAAGTTCAATTAGTACAGGTTTTTAGGAAAATTACAAATATGTTTTACACAAAAAAAGAAGAAAAAAAAGAGAAAGATATTTAGGGTCTGCGGGGATCACCAGGATGGCCTGTAGGTGATAAAACTATGTTTGATCACCACACAGATTTCCACCGAGAAAATTGATATTTTTTAGTGTTGTCAGTAGTAGTCGTATGAGTTCATTTTCAGGGTCTTCCAGGTCTTCCAGCCCCGTATTATCGTCGTCCGAGAGTTCCACTTTCAAATGTAGTTTTTGTAGTTGTGATTGTGATTGTTTTTTTTAAATTTCAGAATCTTGATGAATCAATTTCGCGAAAAATGAGAGCCTTTGGAATGCTGTATTCTCCAGATGGACAAGCAATTCAACTGCGTGGAATGCCTGGACCACCAGGACCAGCGGTACAGTATCTTTGTAGTCTTTGTAGTTTAGTTATATCAGTTCAGTTAATATCAAAAGCTTATCGGTAGAAATCTAAAATCACAAGTTATTCAGTTTCAAATATTTCTTCAGTTTTTTTTCATTTCAATCACTTTTCAGGGCCCGAAAGGACTTCGTGGCTATCCTGGATTTCCGGTGTGTTTCAGTTTTCTTTTTTCAAATCACTTATCTTTGTTACCATTTTTCGTTCCCTTTGTTTTGCATTCAGATGTAGAGAGAAAACGGGCGGATCTTGGATATCGTAAAACCTGCAATAGAAGGGCCCACACTGTCAGGTTTGAGCAAATTTTTCTTGGCTCCTAGGCAAGATATGAAAAAGTCGTAAACTGGTAAAATTTTTACGATACAACAATGAACAATTTATGGATTGATATCTCGCATAGCAATTGAGATAATTGAGCTTAAACTTGACAGTAGCCCTTCCATTACAGGTTTTTTAGACTTTATCCATGAACCGTCTTTTTCACTTTTCTCTAATCACTCTCACCTGCACCTTCAAACTGTCTCCTCCCACCAACACTTCAGAAATCAATCGCTACTAATTCAGGGTCCAATCGGTTTGGATGGTCCGCGAGGTCTCCCGGTATGCTTTTATTTCTATTCCTAGCATCGTTTGCATGACATTATTGTGTTGTCTATTAAATTCACCGGATCGTACAGTAAAATTTTTTCGAGAACTTATTCAGCAAATATTAGTCACACTTTGGGCGCCGTTGGGGCTGAAACGCGGTAACAGTGCCTGAACAGGGCACCATGCCGTGGAAATTTGTTGAGTTAGTCACTTTACTGTACGATTGCTCTCACTTTACCCTATCTTGTTGTTTCTCATCAAGGCCTTTTTTTCAGGGAACACCAGGATCAAAAGGAGAACGTGGAGAACGAGGCCCAGTCGGTCCACCAGGTTTCCCTGGTCCAAAGGGCGATCGTGGAGTTATGACTGGCCCATTCGGAGTTCATGGACAACATCCAGCTCCTTCTGGACCTATCGGACATCACACTACCATGAACATTGGTCCACCAGGTCCCCCAGGTCCTCCAGGACCTCCAGGACCAGCAGGAAGAGATGGAAGGCATGGAATGAAAGGAGATCGAGGACTACCTGGGTTCGACGGAGAGTCGAAAATTGGTCCAAAAGGAGAAACTGGAAATCCAGGTAGAGATGGTATTCCAGGAGCAAGAGGACCCCCTGGAGAAAGAGGAGAAAAGGTTTTTGATTTAAATTTCTGTATTTGTGTTTTCGTAATCTTATTGTGCTTGTCACTGTATTGTGAGTGGTCCGTTTCAGGGTGATACCGCATTCCTTTCCACATATCCAAGAGGCCAATCTGTTTCTACTGTCAGTTCGTCGGGATCCCAAGGACCACCAGGACCTCCAGGACCACCAGGAGTGTGTCAGGTGTCACAATGTATTGGAGTACAAGGACCACCAGGAATACCAGGAGAGCCTGGAAGAACAATCATTGGACCGCAAGGACCACCGGTATGGATGTTGTACCTTTATTGTGAAATCCCAAATTTATGATTATTCGATTCTCAATTTTTTGATCTTATAGGGCGAGAAAGGAGAACGAGGAGAGCGTGGAGAAACAGGTGACAAGGGACCACCGGGTACTCCAGGAGCAGCTAGTCTTCTGAACGGAGGAAAAGCACTTGTGGGACCACCAGGACCACCAGGAAGAGATGGACGACCAGGGGAGAAGGGAGAAAAGGTAAGTGCTGATTTTCAAAAAGCTATACTAGTAGAATGTGTGCTTGATTAACTGATCTGAATGGTGTGGTTGTGTGCTTTCTAATCTGTCTAGTTGTTCAGGGAGAACATGGATTACGTGGAGATATGGGATTGCCTGGACCAGAAGGAACGCCTGGAAAACGAGGAAGGAGAGTGAGTGTGAAAAAATTAATTGCATGTGCTTTGCATTGTCTACTGCTATTTTAAGTGATCGTTCTTTTCTATCTATCTTTTTTTCTATCTGAATAGGGTCGACATGGAATTTCCCTGGTTGCACCAAACGGAACGATTAACGAAGATTTGAAGAAGTTGTTGAAGACCGAATTGATGCCACTGTTGATAGAAGATATATCGGAGTTGCGAGGGAAGAATGTTATTCCCGGACCACCAGGACCACCTGGACCAAGAGTGAGTGCTGGAACACAATTTGGTTTAAATCATTATTCATATTTAGGGGCACCATGGACCAATCGGACCAGCCGGAGAACGTGGGCCTCAAGGGCTTCCAGGACATTCTGGTGAAAGAGGAGAACGAGGAGATATCGGACCACCTGGGTTACCTGGGCAACCTGTAAGCCATGTTCATACATTTTATTTGAACTTTGGTAATTTTCCAGGGAGCCGCCGAGAGTTCTGGAAACCAGTCAGGCCCACGTGGTCCACCGGGACTTCCAGGGCCACCAGGAGAAAAAGGAGATTTGGGACCACCGGGACTTCCAGGACAGCCAGGAGCTCTTGGTTTACCTGGTCACCCAGGACCGATGGGACTTCGAGGACCACATGGAACAGAAGGCAAACAGGTATATTGATGTGGTGGCATCCTGGTCCTTTCCCTTTTTCATGATATCCTTCTGATTATTTTTGATTTCCGTTGTGTTTTGTGTGTTTGGTGTTTGGTGAATTTTTAAATACACCAATTACAGGGAAAACAAGGGCCTGAGGGACCAAAGGGATATCCGGGGCCTATGGTGGGATCATTGTGATTTTGGATGAGCTAGAATTGTAATAAATTGGTTTCAGGGACCACAAGGACCACCAGGAAACGACGGCGAGCCGGGAATCGACGGAAGACCTGGACCAGCTGGAGAGAAAGGAGATCAAGGAATACCTGGATTGGATGCACCATGTCCAACAGGTCCAGATGGTTTACCTCTGCCTTATTGTTCATGGAAACCTATGGATGTGAGTTTTTTTTTCAAAGCGTAGCAGTTCATGTTCGCATGAATCGTAAAAACTGTAACCGAAGGGCTCTCTAACTTTCAACTTTGAGCCAATTAATTTCAGTTTCTGTGAAAGATTAAAAACAGTAGTTAACTGTGAAATTGTTTATCATAATATCCTAATGATTTATTAGTTGCCACATTTTTGATATCTCTTATAGGAGCTGAGATCAAACTTGACAGTGTTGAGACCCTTTCATTACAGATTTTACAGGTAAAAAGTTTTGGAGGTATAGGTTGCAGGATTATATCTCAAGATTCTTATATAAAATCGCGACTCGAATTCAATCAACTTAATGTAAAAATAAAATTTAGGAGCATAGATAATTCTGTTTCAGAGTAATGTACGGATAAATTACGGGTAAGATTATATCAGGAACATGTTTTGATGAAGTTAAAAGTTAAAAAAAAAAGAAAACGTTTAAAAGAAGTCAGAGTGTTTCCTGACTTGATAAAAACGTTTTATAACCAGTTCTGTGTGTTTTCTAACTCCTTCTCTGAAATCCAGAGCAGAATTTTTTGTTTCAGGGCAAGAACGACGTCTGGGAGCGCCGAAAACGGGCTACACTACCAAGAAGTGAGTCCGTACCGGAAGAGAGGACATATATCAAAAACTGAAGATTAAAATAATAAGAACTTTTTTCCTGTAGGCACCGATGTTTTTATTCGCTTTATACCTTTTTGTTTACACTTTTCTTATGCTTCGATCTCTTACTACTGCACACCCTTATTTTCTTCAAATTCCACGTGTGACTCCGCCCATTCTTCTTTCCACTTTTTTCTTTTTTGTTGTATCAAAAACCATCCTATGAATAGTTTCTCAAAGTGTTACTTATTCTTGAGGATCCATAATATTCTCCAGTTTAAGTCACATAGATTTCTAAAACCAAGCTCAATCCTGGTGCACATTCAATGTTCTATTCCTTTCATTTTTTCAAATCAATATTTTTTAATATTTTATTTGCCGTTTCAATTGTAATCTCAGAGATCTTAAAATCAGTTTCAAAACGTTGTTTTTAAAAGAGAACAATTGTTGAATATGAAAAATTATTAGAATTGTAAGAAGGTACAAAATCTAAACAAGAAATTCAAAGGATTGGAAGGTTGATATACAGTATAGACAGTAAGAAGAATGTGGGAAGATAAAGCTGAAATGCTGAATCATACACCTATCACACCAGGAAACAAGAAATGGGGGTACGGTTGAGAGGTACAAATTCACAAAGAGAAAATAATTGAAAACGAGGAGAATAGGCGGCTCTATTGCTCTGGATTGTTGACATCGGGAAATGAGATCACTCGTTTTGGAGTTTAGAAAAAATAGGGATGTTTGGAAGTGTATTCAGTTCAACGCCTAGTTAATAAATATTCAAATAGGAGTTAGACAAGTGGAATCAGAGCTTCTTGTGTTTCGTCGACGACTCCAAATTTGTTGATGATAGGCTGCTCCACGGAATCTGAATTAAAAAAAAAATAAATTTTAGTTTCAATGACTTCAGTTTTAGGATGAGTACATGAAATCGCGGACAGGCTAAAGAATGTGCGCTTCGTCGCACTTGCTTGTAGCGAAATTTGGCTGCGTGCCAGCTTTGAGACTTTCAAAGCGTCCCTCTACTCACCTCGGACTCTGTTATTGGTACGAATTGTACCCATTGGAATTGACTCTTCATTCTGGTTCGTGTATGGTTGTGAAACAGTCGGTTGCGGAGCTGGTGGTGGTGGTGGGAATGGTGCTTGTGCGGCAAGCATTGCCATCTTCTTTTTCAATGCCTCATTCTTCGCAGTGAAATCCTTCTTACGATAGAAGAGCTTGGTTTGAAGACTATTGGCCGTATAACGAGCAGTTGGGTTGTTACTCCATCCAATTGAGATGATATCCATTATTCCTTTGTAGTCCTGGAAATCAAAAATGTTTTTCTCCCAAGATTTGAATAGCTACCTTGTTCTTGGTCCATAATTGATCAACGGTTGGTCGCAACTTTCTCTTATAAACCACATCAATCATTTGAGCGTCGGTTGGATCTCTTGGAGTGTATTCACCGTAAGGAAGCACTGAGCTTGGATCTTTCGGAGTGATTCCCTCATGCTCAACTCTACAGAGTGTTTCCCACATCACCAATGCAAACGAATACATATCCGCCATCTTGTAGCTCTCAAATTCTGATGATTGCATTGTCGAATTGAGAATCTCTGGTGCGAGGTAGCGCTGGAAATCAAAATGTAAACTAATTTGCTTTTTAACCCAAAATAAAACTTTTTCAGTAGTTCAATGTTTTCTCCTACTCACCACAGTTCCACACTTGTAGTTCTTTACAATATTTTCCGGAAGTTTTGCACCATTAGCTGGTTTGGCAAGAGCCAGTCCAAAATCAGCCCAAACACAAGTGAAGTCATTCTTGACAAGAATGTTCCGGGTTTTGATATCCCTATGAGCGATCTCTGGCTTGTATTCCTCTGAAGAAGTAGAAAGTAATCAAATTATTTATAATCATTCTGAAATGAGCCTACCAGTAGATTTTCCAGGAGCAGTGTCATGAAGATAGCTGAGACCGGCTGCCGCGGAATACATGAGATTGAAGTATCTCTCCATATCAATTGTATTCCGATCCAAGAACTCATGAAGCGATCCTTTCTCGTGGAATTCGGTGACAATCCAAGTGCGAACTCCCAGCAAATGATCAGTTCTATCGTCTCCAATCAGTCGAAGTACTTGTGGATGATTGAGCTTGTTATTAAGAATGTGCAATTCGGTGGCAAATGATGACTCGTTGCTTTCATTGAATACTTTTATAGCAACACTCTCATGCTTGTAAGTTGCACGGTAAACAACTCCGAAACGTCCGAATCCAACTTGGTTTTCAATCATAATCTTTTTCGCAAAACTAGCTGGCGCTAGCTCAATTTCACAATTTCCAGTCCCACTTGATCCTCCAAGGAAACTCAACATATCTTGGAAAGCCATTGGCAACATTTTGAAAGGGTCTGGGAAGCCAGGAAGTGTCGTGAGTACGGTACTTGGTGCATCACAAGAGAAGCTTTCTGATGACTGGTAGTGGTTGTTGGTTTCTATGTCGTTGACCTTGTTCAGCTTCTCTTCTTTCACCAACATAGGGACCTGTGTTCTCGCGTATTCAACGAACCATCCTCTATTGGAGACGATAATGATTGCAGCTATCACAACGAATACAACCACCACAGCAATTGTAATGAATTTTAAGGATCCCAGAGCTACTGGTGATGAGTCGGGCTGAAAATTGAAAAAGAAACGTTACATATTCTGAGATTAGGAAGAGCTTACCAGCACTATCATAGTTTGATTCGAGCAAAAGTTAGTGTCGTCACAGCAAACCCAGGAGCTCCTGCGGTCTCCAGTTGTGATATTCAAGCATACTTGTGATGCAGTATTATGGAAATCAGTTTCATCTGTTTTCGAACTCGAATCAATGCATCCGAAATCATGGTGTGATCCTGTCTGTTGATTCTGATAGCAGTTTCCATCCGTATAACAAGCATTCTGTGAAAGTTAATCTAGAATCATTGCTCAGCGAACAAAATTCCTACCTTGTACAACGCTTTCTCTGATGCATTCAATCCATCCCCGATATTTGGGATATATCCTTTTGTTCTGGCAGTACAACCAGCATCCGATGAGCATAAGCAGATTTTGATCCGATTGAAGTTGGTGTTTCTGACTGGAAAAAACTCGAATTGATCGTTGGTTTGTACTTTTTCCACTTTTTCTAGGCTGACAGAAACATTATCTATCTGTCTCTATTTCAAAATTATTGAAATCAAAATCCGGAGATCAGAAAGATTTTTAATGTAGTTGGGTATAATTACAATGTTGACAGAAATAACTTCCGGGACTTGAAATTTCGAAATTTTCTCAAAACGTCACATGGTCAAAAGGCATATTTTGGAGATTATGGCAATGATCTCACGAATAATACCAACGGGGGCAGAACTAGAGATGATAACATTGATCCAAAAGAAGGATTAAAAGTTTTATTATGACAAGAGCGGATGGAAGGTTCAATTTTGAAAAAGGAGAGTTCAAAAAGTGGATGTTTGAAACCAATGTTCCCAAGGATCAATGTTTCAATTATGAGCTCACAGAAAAGGTGTTATTTTTTCTCATTATCAACTTTCAACTTGGATCCAATTTATCTCGGTTCCTGTAAAAGATTTAAAAAAAGAAACTGAAAAATTTTTTACCACAATATCGAAAATATTTTGTCAGTTGATCAGTTTTTGATTTCTTTCGGCAAAAACTGAGATGAATTGGGTCAAAGTTGCAAGCCTCACCCGTCCCCCGTCGCTCGTCCGTCGCTCGCCCGCGGACCGGGAAATTAAAGCGGGTGGGCGGCTGGCGGCCCGTCCGAGATAGAAAGTTTAACCAAGAAAACCCTGTGGATTTTCCAGGACTCTACTCCCAATCACTTACCATTTCGTTCCCTCAAAACTGGAATCAACCTTTCCTTTATGAATGTGTTGGTACGTCCTTGGAGATCATGATCAAACGTTGAGACCCCTAGAGAAGATGAATAAGTACATTAAATTATGTACTTCAAAATGACTCACCGGCGAAGGCAAAAAGCCAGAACAGAAAGTGATGCATCCTCATAACTTTTTCCTCGAAGCTCTTTTCAGTTCATCGGTCCTGCAAAAAACCAAAAAAATTGTTTTGGAGGATAAAGTGCATCGAACGGGAAAGAAGAAGAAAAAAAGAATCTCATGATGATGATGAAGGGAAGAAGAAGCAGAAGGAAAAAAGGAGGCGTGGCAGAAAAAACACAAGACTATGAGATAGAGAGAGCAACGGAGCTATTCAACACAGAATATAAGGAGATACAGTACTGGCCAAAAAGGTATTCGCAAATAGTTTTTCGAGCATAACTTTTCTGAAACTTCCCGGATCAATCTGATATTTTAAGACAAAGTTTAAAACGGTAAAAGAAACTGATTCAACAACAAGAATAGTCAAAATTTCAAAAAATGGAAAAAAAATCGAAAAATTCATGAAAATTGCAAAAACCCGGTAAATGGAACTTTGACTTCTGAGATCTAGGATAGACCGGTAAACGAAAAATAACAATAGAAAATGAATAAAATAGCTTTAGTACTTCGTTGGGAAGCCTTTGGCGTCGATTACCGCCTGACATCTTCTTGGCATCGAGTCGAGAAAAGTGTCGATGACAGACATCGGGATGGCCTGCCAGACATCTTGGAGTTGGTCGAACTTCTGGTTGGCATTCGAGGCACGGATCCCTCTAAGCTGTCTCTCGACATGCTCCCAGAGGTGTTCGATCGGATTCAAGTCCGGAGATTGACTTGGCCAGTACAGAAGATCCACGTGGCGGCGTCGGAACCACTCCTTGATGTGCTTCGAGGTGTGCTTCGGGTCGTTATCCTGTTGGAAAACGAACGCCCGGCCCACAGTAGACCGTGCCCAGGGTCTCATTGTGTTCTCCAAGATGTCTTCATACACAAAGCGATCCATGATGCCCGTAATTCTTCTCAGCGGGCCGATTGAAGTCCCAGAGAAGCAGCCCCAGACCATCACCGATCCACCTCCATGCTTGACGGTTTGGAGCTGGTAGCTGGGATCGAACCGACATCCAACCGGACGGCGAATCCACTTGATACCGTCAGTACCGAACAGATTGAACTAGGATTCGTCGCTGAACACGTGATTAGCCCAATCCTGACGTCCCCAGTGGAGATGAGCTCTGGCCCATGCTACGCGGGCGATTCTGTTCTTCTTGCTGATCGATGGTTTCTTAGCTGGCCGTCGTCCATGGAGTCCAGCATCTTGAAGACGTCTTCTGACGGTTCTCAAGGATGGTGTGACTTCTTTTGGAGTCTTCACGACCCTCTGAATGTCCGTAGAACTCCTCTGGGGATCCTCTCTTGAAGCTCGGACGATGTTCCGATCCATGTTCTTCGACGTGATACGCGGTCTTCCAGGCGATTTTCGCTCCACCAAGGCTCCCTAAACATTTTTTTCCATAACTATACTATTTTCGAATATTACCTCATCCCGAAACTGCTTCAAGATCTTCTCGATGGCACGTTTAGTAACATTGAACTGCTGCGCCAAGAGGTCCTTGGAACATCCACTTCTGAAGCCGATGACGATGGCTTTACGGATGTCCTGAGAGATGTTTTTTTTTTCCGAGGGGTCTGGCCATGTCTGTAAACAGTTTTAAATACATAGGAGCCAAAACCAACATTCTTAGAAACCATAATATCCAAAAATATAAAAATATGAAAAAAGTGAAAAAACGAAAAAATTGAAAAAATTGAAAAAAAACAAAAAATTTCTGAAAATGATGCAATTTCCTTGTACGCAATTTGTCGTCACCGTGTACGACATGCACAGTAAAATTTTCAGATCGATCCCTTAAGTTTCAGCAAAGTTACTCTCAAAAAATCGTTTGCGAATACCTTTTTGGCCAGTACTGTATGTATACGTGTGTGTGAGGGATAGAAGAGTGAGTGTGCGGAGCACCGGAGTGTGTGTGCTCCGAAGAGGAAAAGTGAGTGGTGGAAGCCCCGTTTTCTCGGTCACGGACTGAAAATGCGAGAGAATAGACGCCGAGAAAAACATCTGACTCGCCTGAAAAGCTAGTCGTCGGCCGTGCGGAGAAACAAGACGGAGAAGGAGAGGAAAATGAAGACGACGACGTCAAAACGGTCAGGAGAGAAAGAAGGCTTTCTAGAAAGGTATAATTTTCAATCAACAACTTTGGGGAATGACTGTAAAAGAAGAAGAAGATAGTGAGAAGAGCAAAAGAAAAGGCAATAATGTGCTTCTGCGAATGTGTAAACAATAAACTTGACAGAACTCGGAGCAACATATGTTGCTCGTGCTCTCTCTCCCTATGCACTCCCTTCTGCGTCTCTTAACTCTCTATCATTTCATCAAAATGTCATTTTGAAAGAGGTGGAGCAGTGGAGGAAGCGGACAGCAACTATAACTTCTTTAAATTGAACTCAATTCTATAATTGATGACCTTAAATTTAATTTTTTGTTAAAGAGTGGTATATATTCCAAATTATGATACTAGACGAGATTACTGTATATCGCAGGTCTGGTAACTGGCAAAGATGTCCGGAATGACTTTTTTGAGAAACGAAATCCGGGATCCGGAAGAAAAAAAAAGCACGGAACCCGGAATCTGGAATCCGTACACCTCTTGTAAATGGCGATCTTCAAAAATGACGAAGTGAAGGAGCTATAGTCGAAGAAAGAAAATTGGGAGACAGTGGAGAGCCACGGAGCTGCTTCCATAGTTACAGCATGCTGTATAGTCATAAATCTCCATGTGAAAAGCCAAGTATGACATTTACATTATATACGCGGTCCCCTCGAGCTGAGTGACTTTTCGGGAAAATGGGCGGGGCATTGCTAAGGTAATAAGCCGTAGGCATAAAGAAGGAGGAGCTTGAATATGTAAACTCCGCTGAGTAGAGCTTGTAGATTGGACGGAAAGAAGCAGTAAATTGCCTGAGTAATCCACTCTAGCTCATACGGTAACAGTTTGGGAAACCGGATGAAAGGATCTATAGTGGAAAAATGGGAAAAAAAAATTCGCTCATGGAATATAGAATTTGAAAAACTTCATTTGTTATGCACTTGGAATCATGCAAAAACATCCAAAATGTTAGTCCGGGAAAGCTTGAAGAAGCGAGAAGGAAATGAGATTCTGCGGGGGGAAGAATGATTCGAAGAAAGATTTTTTTTTCAGATTTCAGGGTTGCTCTAAGATTTTGAAAAGAATATTTTCTTGAAATTAAGTTTAGAACATACTTGTCGACGGGCCGATCCCAGGCCATGGCCGGGGCAGCTGATAAATCGCTTCAAAATTGAAGCAAAACAGCATAACAGATAATAAAGCTCGAAGAGCTAAACAACCTCCAATAAGAGTCGCTCCGCTTTGAAAACGTTATTATGGTTCGGCCCGGCTATCAAATGTCGGCACTGAACCGGTTACTGATTTGAGTGCTGGTCGACTTTTATTAAAGGTTATAGAAATCCCTGACAAGCTTGTGAGCTCTATAACCTGTTATGTTGTTTTGCTCACAATTTGAATTTTGAAGCAAGTTTTCAGCCGGCCCATGCCGGCCCGGAATAGGTCCGCCCACAAGTATGTTTTTGGAAAACATTTCCCAATCCTAATTGTCTATAGTCTGAAAAGAAAAATACAAAAAATATATTTGAATTTCTAGAATCTCACTCTTCTGGTCATACATAGGATTTCCCACGCACATCTAACCCGTGATCGGAATGATTTCGTATCAACTATATAGTCAGAAACTATGATTACTTTTTTTCAGGATTAGGTGAAATTGAAGTCGAGTTTGAGTACTCCAATATTCGACTATACGACTAATAATTTATAAGAAATCCGCTATATAGTAATCAAAAGTTGTATAGCCATGAATAACTTTTTTTTCAAAAAATCTCGGGCATGCATACTTGTAAAATTCCGGGCCGGCCCGCCAAAGCCCGGGTCCGGGCCGGGCCTGAGGAAAATTTCAAGACCCGGGCCCAGCCCGGAAGGCCCGGTAGCAAAAATTTTATCATTTTGAACCGAATTTTGAGCTCTCAATACAATTTTTTATATTTTTTTCGTGCTTTTTGGATTGTTTGTCTGTTTGATCAAAAAATATCAAAAAGACTCGAAAAAAATGTTTTGATCGAAAAAAATCACATAAGGGTCCCCCCTTATGTGATTTTTGTTGGTTTTTTGAAATTTTCAAAACTTGTGGAATGACAGGCCCGCCGG